TCATATCATTTTTTTAAATATTTATTTCTGTGTAACTTTTGGAGTCCACAGCATGTCAGCAGTGGCCGTAACTTGCTAAAATAACTTGTTATAAATTTGGCATATGAATATCATCCATATACTACCGCAGATTAGGGTTTCACTGATAAATAGAAGTTTATTAAAAATAAATAAGATCTTTAGTGTTATATAACTAAAATTCTGTAGAGTTTGATCATTTTAATATGTTTGTCTGTTTTCATTACAGTTGCTTTTAACACTCTCAGTTATGATCCCTGCAATAACTACACATCTCTTGATCAACCATGGAGAGCCACTAATGAGTCTGGAGGGTCCTACAGTGACAACAGCTTCCACTGGAATGGCTGGTACCGGATGCTGTATAACAGGATGAACATCCATATGCCAGAGAGCTGTGTTAATCAATCCAGATGTGGAACTGATGTTGCTCTGTGGCTGAATGGACCTCACCCTCAGAAAGAGGATGGAATAGTCACTCGTGGAGTCTGTGGAAATTCAGGAAGTGACTGCTGTTACTACAGATCCATCCCAATTCGAATCAAAGCATGTTCAGGAAACTACTACATCTATGAGTTTGTCAGTCCAAACGTCCACAGTTCGGCTTACTGTGCAGGTACTCTTTCTATGTTTTAAGGTTTAAATGGTGAATCATTTTACAAGTGTTTTATTAGGCTTCCATTTAGGCTTCAGTTTTATACCCTCTTTTCCTATTTCTGCCAGACCTTGCCAAAAAGACAAATTTTCATCTGTTGTCCTTTGAAAGATGTTAAGCATTTCCATAAAATAGCTTCTGACTTGAGACTGGGTGATGACACATCCTGCTTTCATTCTGTGGCAGGGGATGTTTCAGCCCTGATCTGCCCCCCTACTGGATATAGATTTTAATACTCAAAATAGACAAAAGGGATGCAGATAAGGATGTGAGCAGTGCTGCTCATGAACACATGTACATGGTGTCAACTACTACACATTCTCAGTTGTGGTAAACTATGTCACCTAGTGGAGAAAGAAAAAAAGAAAGACAGAAGAAAAAAGGGAAAGAAATAAATTCTAAAATAGACAAAAGGCAGAAAGCCTATAGCATGAAGTTCAGAAGGCTTCAAAAGTTTTAAGGCTATGTTCACATTACAACCCTCATCGCTCAAATCAGATCTCTGTGACATGATGGTTCACACTTGTTTAGGTAAATGATCCAAATCTGTCATTAATGTGAATGAACTGGCACAGTTCCTAATCACGTGTGTCGTGCATCATCAGCAAATAAACTAATTAGCAGAACGAGCCTTCGCTGTGAAGATATTTAACTCTGAACAGCTCTCAACTGTTCATTATTAGAGCAAGACAAAGCCGGAAAAGGTCAGATGTGTTGCTTTTCCATTGTTTACAGGCTTTAACTTCTGTTCGGCGCTGCTGCCAAGGTAATGCTGAATGATGGCGCATGCACAAAAAAGCACATTAAGGTTGCATGGCCACAAATTAGATACGTGTCTGATCTAGGACCACATATGAAAATGGCTAAGGTCGGATTTGAAAAGATCAGATTTGCGTGTCCACACAGCCCTGAAAAGATCAGATCTAAATCACATTAGGGCAAAAATTCACTTCAACCACTTCAAACTGGTAATGTTAACGTAACCCAAGTTCACAAAATAATGATAATATGATTGAAAAACACATTTCTTGCTAAAAGTATCTATAAAATTATGTTTCAACAAAGTCTGTACATTCTGTGGTTCAAATTGGATTAACTGTGTCAGGAGAAGAAAAATAACGCCTACAGTCTCCCAAAGTATTGGAACAACAAGCCCATATATTTTTTTAAGACATGTTTTGGATTTTGGTTTCAGATCAAAAGATGAATATGACACAAAGGGATTTCAGCTTTTATTTCCTGATATTTATATCTTTACATATGCTAAACAATTTAGAACATGGTACCTTTAGTTTGAACCCGCTCATTTTTCAAGTGAATCTGCTAAGAAATACAGAAATGAGCTGCAAAGGTTCTGCAACAGAGTTGTATGGACTAATGGGACCAAGATTAAACTCTACCAAAGTGATGGAAAGGCCAAAATGTGGAGAAAGAAAGGATCTGCTCATGATACGAAACATGCAAGCTCGTTAGTCGAGTGCAGTGGAGGTAGGACATGGCTTGGGCTTGCAACTCGAAATGAACAGAAAAATGAACTGAGGAGTCTACAGAAACATTCTGTCAGCCAACCAAGACCGAAAACACACTGTCAACACAACAAAGGACTTCATCAGGAAAGAAAGTAGAAGGTTTTAGGCTGGTCGAGTCAATCACCAGACCTTAAAACAATTGAGCACCAGTTCGTCTCCTGAAGAGGAAAAGGAGAAAAACCACAAAACAAACCACAACTGAAAGAAGCTGCCTGGAAAATCATCACAAAAGAGGAGTGATGTCAGTCTCTTGATACAGTTAATGCAAGTAAGGGACATTCATCCCAATATTAAGCATTTATTACTTTAATTTAGTTTAAGTCTTTTGTTTGCCTAAAAATGGGGAGTCTGAAAGGTGCCATCTAGATGACGTTTAGATGTAAATATGTTCAAGAGCAAACATCTAGAGATACTTATCTGGAAATAAAAGCTAAAATTCGAATGTATCCTCTCAAATTTGCCACTTGAATACTCCTATAAGGAGAGTGTAGGAATTGTTGAGAAACTTGATACACTGTTTTTGTACGTAACTCAACTTTTGTTTTTCTTTTACTTATTTTTATCTTGTTAGCTCATATCTGGCTGCTGTTCTCTCTGGTTTAAATAAATTTTTTTATTCTCATATGTATGCTTGTGTGAATGTCCACAGGTATGGATGTTTGCCTATATGTGTGAGAGGGTACATATGTGTTAGAACTCAGATATGCATGCCTGTTACTGTATTAGTTGAGTAGAACTCAGGTATGGATGTTTATGTCACTGTATAAGTGTGATAGATCTCAGGTGTGGATGTCTGTGTTACAGTATAAGTGCGGTAGAACTCAGATATGGATGTCTGTTACTGTATAAGTGTGGGAGAACTCAGGTATGGATGTCTGTTACTGTATAAGTGTGGTAGAACTCAGGTATGGATGTCTCTGTTACTGTATAAGTGTGGTAGAACTCAGGTATGGATGTCTGTGTTACTGCATAAGTGTGGTAGAACTCAGGTGCGGATGTCTGTGTTACTGTATTCGTGGGGCAGTACCTAAGATATGGATGTACGTCGTATGTAGGATGATTCTATTTATTCATTCTTGCATTCATTCATCCATATATCAATAGGAGCTATGATTTTCTTGCCTTGCAAGCACTTATATTCTTCAGAAAAGAAATCTGTTTTAATGTAATTGTCCTATTTATTGAGTGTGTTTTGACACTGGCTTGTCTTGTTTTAGATATTACTGCTTTAACTCCTGCTGATGAGACACCAGGTACATTTGAATTTCATGATATTTCATTTGATTCTGTACAACTAGATAATAACAAAAACAACAAGAGCAACCTTGACTATAAATACACTGCATATTTGAGATAATGCAATATATATGGTATGAAATCATTTAAAATTCAAAATAGTATGAAGGTCTATACTATTGCCAGATATTATGTTGCAGCACAATCTCATGCTCAAAGCAAGACCTTCAGTTCAAAAAATGATTTGGTTTCATTTTTCTTGTTTATGTTTTTGAGGTAATAGTACCGTTCCTGTGTGTTAATAATAGCACACAGGATGGGTGTTATTATTAATAATAACACAGAGAATAACACACAGGATGGGTAAAAAATGAAAAAAAAAAATGATTAAGTGGTCAATTAACTCACCCTGAAAATATCAGAGAAATCTTAGCTTTAGTCAAAGATAATTAATTCTAAGAAAAGATAAATAAAAACACCTGTCACTATTTTGAATCCCTGCATTTAGTACTCTGTGCAACCTCCCTTTGCCAAAATAAGAGTGATGAATCTTGTCCTGTAATGCTTGACTGGATTGGAAAATACAGCATAATAAATTCCCTCAATACAAAATTTCTCTACATCGTCCAGGACCATATAACCTTTCTATACATTCTTTTTGGAATTACTTCTTCAACTCACCCCACTGGTCTTCAAAGGGGTTTGGTCCAGGGACTTTGATAACCATGTCAAAAGCTTAATTTTCTGTGGTGATTTAACCATTTTTGTATGGACAGTCACCTTATATTTTTGCCTTCTTAGACTACGTTTACTAAGTTTTCTATCATATTTTAAGTGTGAGAATGAACTGGCCAATTATCTATAAAGACAATTTTCATGAACTTTTTTAACTTTACCAAGGGTGACAAAAATTCTGACACTAACTGTACATAATTCAAATGTTAGTTAAATGTAAGTAAAAATTGCAATTGGTTGTGCATGAATGAACAATGCTAAATGAGAACACTTCTTGCAAACAGAATAAAATTGAAAGACATTAATTGCGTTGATGTAACATTTTTTCATATATCTCCAACTGACAACTTTGAACCATGGAAACTGAGATAAACCAGGGTTTGAACAGGTTTGGTGAGGAAAACAGCAGCTGATGATAGAAACATTGTGAGAGTTGTGAAGAAAAATCCAAAAATAACCGTCAGTGACATCACCAAAATTAGTTGGGTTGATGTTAAGTATTTTTTCATATATCACCAACTGACACACTTGAATCATGTACATTGAAATTAAAAGTTTATTCCATGTGTGAAGTTTGAGGACATTTTGATTAAGGGGGTTATTAGGGAGTTATTAATATTAGGTGGTTTCAATATTGATATACATTTCCAGAATTATTAATGTATTGACAATGTATATAAAAAACAGCCTGTAAGCATGTTAGCTTATTTCCACAGGCATATTGAAAACATTGCAGTTTTCATTTTACATTCACCTGTAACAAAAACTCTGACATGTTCTCTTAATGTTTATTCTTTCAGTGCCAAATATTACAGTATCTACAGAATGCAAGGTTTGTGACAATTTAATTACACATTATGTCTGTTGATTATGATTTCTTCAAAATAGATACTTTTAACTGACTTTTTGTTTCAGGACAATTTCACACCAAAATGTGGAGAGAATTTGTTTAACCAACTTGAGAACATCACTGCTCAAGTGCTCCCACCACAAGTAAGTTTTGTAATAAATTAGATCAAGAAATAAAATAGTAGTACAAAAGAAACCTCCGCTGTGTTCTGTATGCAATATGTTAATGTTTGTAAATTTCCCTCTAATTATTGATCAGGTAGTAGTAAAGTATTTAGACATGGTGCTGAATACCCAGGAGCAGCTTCTAAAGGTTGAAACAGCAAGTCCAGAAAAAATCGCATCTTATGGGAACACAGTGCTGAATAGGACTGAGAAACTGGTGTCTACATTGGTGAAGCCAACAGAGACCACTGAATCCGTTTCCATCTCTCGCAATGGCTTAGGTAAACAACTACATAAGCACAATTTAGTGACTGAATTACACCCACTATTTCCAACACTGGATCTTTCACCAAGATCCAGAAGCAAAAACTAGTTTGTCCAAATATACTGAAACAAAGATATCTCACTAGTATGGCATAGCTATGTGTGTATATGGTTTATGACTTATGGTTTATGGTTCTCAGACATTCAAGTCTTTTCAGTTGGACCAAAAGCTTCCATGAATGAAATCCCTCAACTGAGGATAAACAGCACTCAGATGGACATTGACCTCATCCAGATTTCAAAGAATAATAATGGTATAGTAGCAATCTTTACATGCTTTCACAGATCTCATTACTGGAACACTCTACTCTTAATCCCAAAGTGGCCAATTACTGTCAAAAGGATGTGAAAAAGCAATGATTTAGATTCTTATTTTGGAAATGGTGTATTAAGTAATGAGTCACTTTAAGACATTAAAAACAAAGGGACAGTGCATTCAATTATATTCTCAAATTCACTATATACAGTCCTGTGCAAAACTCTTAGGCCATGTGAAAAAATATGTATGGTATTCATCTGGGCGGAAGGCACATATTACCTAACACAAAGAAAAAAAATATTGTGATTTGATAGGTGTGAGTATGTTAACCATTTTCAAAAACCATTTTGTCCGCTAGGAAGCCCTGTATTTTACCACCCAAAACCTAGTTTATCTAATCAGTCCTTCATTAAATTTAATCAGGTGCTACTGATGGAACTAAAAGATACCCTATGTTCCCAAAAGTATTCACTCACCCATCCAAATCATTGATGGTGTTCCAATCACTTCCATGGCCACAGGTGTATAAAACCAAGCACCTAAGTATGAAGACTGCTTCTACAAACATTAGTGAAAGAATGTGTCGCTCTCAGGAGCTCAGTGAATTCCAGCATGGTACTGTGATAGGATGCCACCTGTGCAACAAGTCCAGTCATGAAATTTCCTCGCTACTAAATATTCCACAGTCAACTGTCAGTGGTATTATAACAAAGTGGAAGCAATTGGGAATGACAGCAACTCAGCCACGAAGTGGTAGACCACGTAAAATGACAGAGCGGGGTCAGCGGATGCTGAGGTGCATAGTGCGCAGAGGTCACCAACTTTCTGCAGAGTCAATCGCTACAGACCTCCACACTTCATGTGTCCTGCAGATTAGCTCAAGAACAGCGTAGAGTGTGGCAATCCGATGGACGAGTCTGGGTTTGACGGTTGCCAGGAGAACGGTACTTGTCTGACTGCATTGTGCCAAGTGTGAAGTTTGGTGGAGAGGGGATTATGGTGTGGGGTTGTTTTTTGGGAGTTGGGCTCGGCCCCTTAGTTCCAGTGTAAGGAACTCTTAATGCTTCATGCTCCCAACTTTGTGGGAACAGTCTGGGGATGGCCCCTACCTGTTCCAACATGACTGCGCACCATAAAGACATGAATAAGCGAGTTTGGTGTGGAAGAACTTGACTGGCCTGCACAGAGTCCTGACCTCAACCCGATAGAACACCTTTGGGATGAATTAGAGAGGAGACTGCGAGCCAGGCCTTCTCGTCCAACATCAGTGTCACAAATGCGCTTCTGGAAGAATGGTCAAAAATTCCCGAAAACACTCCTAAACCTTGTGGAAAGCCTTCCCAGAAGAGTTGAAGCTGTTATAGCTGCCAACGGTGGGTCAACATCATATTAAACCCTATGGATTAAGAATGTTGTGTCCCTTCATATGCGTGTGAAGGCAGACGAGTGAATACTTTTGGCAATATAGTGTATATACGTCTGGAACCAAACACACACACACACACACACACATTATCTAAGCTGCTTATCCTCCTGGGTTGCAAGGAGTGCTGGAGCCTATCCCAACGGTCATTGGGTGGAAGGCAGGAAACCTTGTTGTTTTCTGTTAGTTTAAGTTATGTGTACATGTTATTTGTGTTATTTAGTGTCAGTGTTGTGGGTTTATGTGTGTGGGGGTCACCGTTGGGGTGAAGTGTGTGGCTCCCCCTCGAGGTCAGTGTCCTGTACATGCCTCTTTTGGCTGGTATTTTCAAGAAAGAGCCCTTCTTGTGGCAGATAATGGCTTCCCCTGTGTTTCTTCTTTTGCCGACACCACAATATGTAATTTTCTGAATAAGTAAAGACTACAATGTCATTCAACATTGTAACTTTACAGAGCAGTTTTGTAATTCCCCTTCTCAAACACACCCACTAAATCTGGCAATTAACAGATTAGTGTAATTAGATATGTTTGAGAAGGAAAAATCACTAGCCTGATCTATCGAGATCTTAGCTAGCCAGCTATATTTTGAGGCACCTCAGTGCTGCCTATCACCTGTCATTCAGACTGAGCAATAGCGGGTTATGGAATGTTTGTTCTGTATAGTTCAAGTCATGAAATCACAAAATGACGGGGAGAACTCAGAGGATACTTTGCTGATTGTTGCTTGTAGCACAGTAGTAAAAGTGGAGAAAAACAGATCACAGAAGTAAGTTGGGAGAAAATGACATTTTTAGGAGAGCTGAGACTAAATACATGGGGGTTGAGCCCCACTAAAAAGGGTCTAGAATCAGCCCTGGTGGATATGGAAATGTTTAACATTTCTGATGTTCAGAAATTTTGCACATGTATCAGAAATACTGTAAGTAACAACAGACAGAAATATTGTTCTTGCTTTCATGAAAAGAACAGTTTGAGTCTTGTGTTTTATTGTGAGGCTTACATATTATTACCTAAAAAGCTATAAGGAAGGAAGGTGGTGGTTGTTTGATAGAGATCATTGTGTTTAATGTGTTTGAGTAGACACTTCTCCTTATCGTAATATAGTTTTTTTGCTGTGCTTCAGGATCAGCTGCTGCAGCTTTCATGAGCTTCTCTAGCATGGCGAGCATGCTGAAACCCAGTTTCTTTAACACAACTAACAACACGGTAAAAACCATGATGTCCATTGTGGTGTCAGCAACTCTGCCCAAAACCACCAACACACAGCTCTCAAGACCGGTCAACTTCACCCTGGAACACATCGAAGTGAGTTTACTGATGATAAATTTAATTTCTAATTTAAAAAGCCTTATTCTATAATATAAGCATATATTTAATGATGCTTTATGCAGCTGACCACCTTATTATGGCAATAAAAAGTGGCTGATGCAATTTACTATAAAGACATAACAGCCAGCTAAAACACATGATAAGATCAAAGAAGTGGTCACTGATCTTTTGAACTTTTGCCCCTTTGACAAAATGTAGCTGTTGCAATTTACAGTTTCCATCCCAAAGCACAAAATACTGTGAGGACACTATTAAAAAGACCCACTTATTCTGAGGCTGATATTAAATACTGGCTGTGGCTTCTCTGTGCCCTTTAACAGAAATTTTACAGCCTCTGATCAACTGACGTTTAAAATTAAAATTTGTCTGCCTCTACCAAGAAAAGAAAAATGGGTCATCACTGGATCTTCTAGCAGGACAGTGATCCAAAACATATGTCCAGATCAACATGAGTCAGCATGAGGTTAAGCTAATTTACCAAAGGTTGAATTTCTTATAAACTTTTTCACTCATCTTTACCAGAGATATCAATAACTGGGGAGAGGACAGTATGTTACAGCTGGCATATTGTCATTTACCACCATTACTGTGTTATAGTCATTGAGCAGAGGTGGAGGTGAGCTATATTGTGTAGACAATAAATTCAGTCTTGGTGAAAGATTTAAATGGTGAGTGGCTGGCAAGACGTCTACTCCGAAACCTTCATTTTGTTTCTTTTGAGCCATTCAGAGGGGGGACTTGTTTGTGTGCTTCGAATCAATGTCCAAATGCATAATCCAACTGCACTTTAGGTCACAAACTGATAGGTAGGTTTTATCCTTCAGGATTTTCTGATAAAGAGCAGAATTCATGGTTCCATCATTTATGACAAGTTGTCCAGGTCTTGCAGATTCAAAGGAGCCCCAAACCATCACACTAATACCACCCTGTTCGACTGTTGGTATGATGTTCTTATGGTGGAATGCAGATGTAACAGGCCCCTGTCTTCCAAAAAGGTCCACCTTCGACTCATCAGTCCATAGGATATCAGCAGCGGTTTGCACCTTACAACTCTCCCATGGATCTCATTTTTGCCCAGTGTCTTTCTTATTGTGGAATGATGTACATTGACCTTAACTGAGGCAATTGAGGCCGGCAGTTCCTTAGATGTTTCGTTGGGTCTCTTCGTCTCTTTACAAGCTCCTGAGTTGTCAGTGTGTTCTTGACTAAATTTTGATAGGCCGGCCATGGGGAAGGATCACCAATGTCAATTCCTTTTCTATGCCTCTGTATTTAAATCTCTTTACAACATGGCATCATGTGCTGCTTTATGAGACATTCTAGCTTTATATTACCAGGTTCTATTTAAATTACATTTAGGTTCAACAGGTCTGGCGGTAATCATGCCTGGGTGTGGCTAGTGAAACTGAACCCAATAGTCAATTGAATTTGATTAATTGGTTGATTTAGTAGCAAAGGGGGCAATAACTTTTTTCACACAGGGTCAGGTAGGGCTGAACAGCATTTTCCTTTAATAAATGGAATGGTCATTTAAAAGCATTTTGTGTTTACCTGGGCTAACTTTGCCTAATATTAAATGTAGCTTAATTATCTGAAACATTAAAGTGTGACAAATATGCAAAAATAGAGGAAACTGGGAAGGGGCAGATGCTTTTACACAGCACTGTATGTACATTAGCAATACAGCAGCAATCTCCTTTTTATACTGCACAATATGATTACCACAGCCTCAAAGACAATCATTTCCTTTCTCTTTTTCCAGCAAATTGATCCTAATGGTACACTTTCCTGTGTGTACTGGAATAACACTGTATGGGATGAAGATGGGTGTTCCCTTCTCCAGACCAACAGCAGCCACTCTGTGTGCTCCTGCATTCACCTGTCAACCTTCGCTCTCATCATGCAGACCAACCCAGACCAAGTCTCAGATGATGTAAGAACAACTGAAGATTTAAAAAAAACATATGCATGATTGACTGGATTTAAGAAACTTATAATAATTACTAACATTTTTTACTCTTAAAAGGTATCATTTGCCTCAAGGTCCCAAAGCCCTGAAAGTCATAAGGTTCTTAATTCCTGCCAGTTACATCTGCTTCAGCTGAAATGACACCATCCTAGTGACTTACTCTATCATAAAACCATTTTACCCTACTTACTGCCAAGGACTAAAATGATTTAAAATTATATTCTGTACAGCCAAGTGAGCAGCAGCCCCTATTGATTGTTCAGGTTGTGATGGAAATCAGTGAAAAAACTGTAGGGATTAAAGTCATTCGGACAGGGGGTGGGGCATCTTAAGGACTAACTGCATGAGTTACCTGATGATCCTCTCATTGACTAGGGGAGTCTTGTGTGAGCGTGATCTGGTCAGGTTAGTGTTGCCTGTAGGTCGTATTTAAAAGATAATGTGAACAGTCTAACAAAAAATTTGATTTTCTGAGAAAAAAGATTTGGCGCTTTCACCTTTTGTGTGAACATAGCCTTAGAGTCCCTGGGCAACGTGAGTTCTAAATATTCCCCTCTGCTACCCATTCAATAAAACCAGGCTATGTGTCCATGTTGACGAGACGCAAGTTTTCTTCAAGCTGTTTATTGAACACCCTTTCAGCTCCTGGCTTAGCATCAATAACCTTGTTCAATGAACTGATCACACAACAGGATAGCCTCTAACAGATAGGATTGATTTCCTGACTATGTAACTCGTGTGAGGCCTACCTACACTCTGCATTTTACATTCCTGAAGGAGCAGGCTGCCAAGCTATTATTTACCCCAAAGTCCTAAAGCCCTGACTGTTACAAGTATCTAAAATCCTGCTGACTCTATCTGCTTTAATACAGTTTCTTAACCCTGCTCTTGCACTGTCAGAAAAAAGGTACAGTGCAGGTCCATTTTTTGTCCATCAGGGTACAATGTAAATGTACCCTTAAAGGTGCAATAACAGTTTTAAGGTCCTACTGTGTACCTTAAAGAAGTTTTTTTTTTTCCAGAGGAAAGGTACATATTTATACGTTTTCATTCTCTAATGTTTAAATGCAGAGCAATGATATAAAAATAAGCCTAGAGACAAAACAGGCTGTGTGGAGTTGTTGCAACTTTAAATATATCATTGCAATGGATTGCAACTGAGGGTACCACTCCAGTGATAAGACAAAGTGACAGTTCAGCACCTTTTTTCTGAGGCTGTGGGAAAACAAGGCAACGCATAATTTCACCTGCATACTTCAAATGTTTGCTAATTGGTTTTGTCACGTTTTGTTTTGCTATCCGGTGTTGACAAAAAGAGGATGGGTCTCAAACTTGCCTCCTGTCAAGGGTACTTCCTCTTGATTTGAGTTTTTCCTTGCCATTGTCACACTTGGCTGCTTCAAAGGAGGTACGCAGTTCTCCTACACTTAATTATTTGCTTTGAAGGTGGAAAAAAGAGCTAAAATTGCTTTGAAAAGAATGTTGAAGCCAATATGATCATTTCAGGATAACAGCTATAAAATGACCAATGCAAACTGAAAAGTATACTAATATTCAGCCTTTTCAGCTTTTTTTTTAATTTACTATGTATGTGGTACACAAAGATATTTTACAAAATCAATTTATAGATGTAAACACAGTATTGTCACCTGCTATGCATGAGCTAAGTAAGTGCAGAAAAGTTTTTTACTCAATATTAGCATATTTTAACGTTTGTTATAAGTAAATTGTGGGCCAAAACATATTTTCCTTTTTTTTTCTTTGGTTTAAAGTAAATTATTTATCATTACAATCAGAATAAGAAATGAGATAATGAAGTATTTACTGTTCATTTCCAGAGTGACCCTCTCTTGGAGCTACTCAGCATGGTGGCTGTGGCAGTGGGGCTGTTTTTCCTGAGTTTGTCTCTGTTGACCTTTGCCCTTTGTCGTCGAAACATGAGAGTTAACCTCGCTCCACTGATAAACCTGTGCATCAGCCTGTTTCTGGCTCACCTCCTCTTCCTTCTCACACAGAAATTCCTGCAGTACATCGTCAGGATTCAGGTGAGAATTATTTACTTGTATTTGTACCTCATCAGCTGTGGATAAATATAATGGTAATACTAAAGTATAACATGCTTCAGATTAAAGAGTGTTAAAATATAATAAAGTAGCAGTGTTTTCTGATATTCATTCATTGTCTCTCTCTCTCTCTCTCTCTCTCTCTCTCTCTCTCTCTCTCTCTCTTTCTCTCTCTCTCTGTTCAGCTGCTGTGTGCAGCAATGGCAGGTGTTCTGCACTTCCTCTTTCTCTCCGCTTTTGTGTGGATGTTCTTTGAAGCTGTTCTTCTCTTGATTTCTGTGAAGAACCTCACAAAGATCAGATCAAAGCAGAAGGAAGTGCTCGGCTGGAAATGTTTGATTGTGATTGGATACATTATTCCTCTGATTGTGGTGGGCATGTCTGTTGGACTGTTTCCTGATGGATACGGCAGTAAAAAGTAAGAACGTAGAGTGGGCGTGGTTTCATTAGACTACTTTCTCAGTTAGAATTTAATTTCTTAATTAGAATTGATTTAATTCAGCAATTCCTGTTTAACGCAGATCCTGTGATGTATTCTACAGATGACAATCTGTGACATATTCTGTGTCTTCCTTTGTGCAGATGTTGGATTAAGACAGACAGGGACTTTGTCTGGAGTTTTCTTGGTCCCGTGTGTTTTATTATTATAGTAAGTTCCAAGAAATCTCTTCTACAGTATGTTTTTGTATAGCCTCATTTCAAAAAAAGTTGGGATGCTGTGCAAAATGTAAATAAAATCAGAATTTAATGATGTGCTAATCATTTAAACCCTATATTTAATTCAAAATATTACAATGACAACATATCAAATGTTGAAACTGACAAATGTTTTTAATTGTTTTGTTTTTTTTTTAATATTTGTCCATTTTGAATTTGTTGAGTTAGGGACACGTTTACCACTGTGTCACATCGTCTCTTCTTTTAACAGCATTCTGTAAGTGTTTGGGAACAGAGGAGACAAATTGCTTTAGTTTGGAAAGTCAAATGTTTTCACATTCTTGATTGATACAGGGTTTCAGTTGATCATCAGTTCAGGGTCTTTGAAGCAAGACCTTTCCTGAAAAAGACGTCATCTGGATGGCGCATATTTTGCCCCAAAATTTGTATGTTTTGCTCAGCATTAATGTTGCCTTCACGGATGTGCAAGTCACCCATGCCATGTGTATTAACGCACCTCTGTACCATCATGGATGCCTGCTTTTTAACTGTGTGCTGATAACAAGCCAGAAGGTCCCTGCCCTCCTTTGCCTGGTTTTCTTTGCATGATAGTGCTAACTTGCATTTGTCAATGCAGTGGTAAACTGTGTTCACAGACAATGATTTTTAGAAGTGTTCCAGAGCCCATGCATTTCATTCCACTATAGAACTGTGTCTCTTTTAAATGCAGAGCAGCCTGAGTGCCCAAAAGTTATAGCCATCCAGCATTGGTTTTCAGCCTTGTCCCTTGCACCCAACCCTTACCTGATCTGTCTAACGATACAACTACCGTGTATGAATAGGTGCACTCAAATTTGACTGTCCACACATCACGCTGGAGGGAGAAAAGCGAGAGAGAGTGACAAGTAAAAAGAGAGGGAGCAACAAAATGAGACTGCCTTTTACTGGCTACATTTTCAAGTCCATCAAGTAGCGCTGCTTAACAGTACTGCTGGTACCCCAAAAGTCTCAGACATGCTAAATGCTCCCACACATGATTCCTCTCAGGTGGATCCTTTTATTTTGCCAAGAACTGCCCCTCAGCAGACAGCAGTGATTCTGATTGGTGGACAGAAGAGCACAGCCAAGCATCAACGATGTCCTCATTGGTCCACCGTACATCTGTATAGTAGTTTGGTAGGGTGAAAGGGGAGAGAGAAATAAAAAGTGTGTGCAATGCAGGTGTGTGACATACATTGATAAAGTTTGTTCTTGAATTGTTCACTATTTGCCTACACAATCTTTCACAGGGTGGTGAACCCCTCCCGATCTTCTGAAAGATTCAGCCTTTCTCGATGCTCTTTTTATATCCAAGCATGCTACTACTCTGTTGTCAACCAACGTAATTAGTTATGAGATGGTTTTTTTTTAGCATTAGCCAACTTTACCAGACTTTTGTTGCCACTTTCCCAACTCTTATAAAATTTGTTGCTGGTATCAAATTTAAAATGAGCATATACACTGATCAGGCAGCACTGCTGTGTCTGACCCACTGGTACCAGCACAACACACACTAACACACCACCACCACATCAGTGTTACTGCAGTGCTGAGAATGATCCACCACCCAAATAGTACCTGCTCTGTGAGGGTCCATGGGGGTCCTGATCACTGAAGAACAGAGTAAAAGGGGGCTAAGAAAGTATGCAGAGAAACAGATGGACTACAGTCTGTAACTGTAGAACTATAAAGTGCACCTATATAATAAGTGGAGCTGATAAAATGGACAATGAGCGTAGAAACAAGGAGGTGGTCATAATGTTATGCCTGATCTGTGTATTTTTAAAGACAATACAATTTCTTCATTTCAACATTTAATATGTTGTCTCTGTACTATTTTTCAATTAAACACAAGGTTTAAATTATTTTCATATCATTACATTCTGATTTTATTTACACTTTGCAGTTTCCTAGCTTTTTTGGAAACAGCATTGTAGGTGAATAAGCATTTGGAGTATTCTGAGGGCCATTACATATATCACACTGGATTATGCATCAGGAATTATAATGTTGCAATAATCAGAATAATTGTTTCCTACATTTGCAGTTCAACTTGATCTTCTTCGTCATGATCATCATCACTCTGAGAAAAAACGTGGCAGGACTGAACAGTGAATTTTCCCAAATCAAACAAATGAGGTAACAAAAAGCACACATCTTATTGTCACAATTTGACATGCACATATTGAATTCTTTGATCTTTTGTTAAAGTTTTGATTTCCATTTATTACACTCTTATTTGGAGTAATTTACAGTTTAATCTAGTTACAGAGGTAGATGAATGTATCTGTAAGGGTTTTGCTCAATGACACTTTAGTATAATGTGTTGTTCTTGCTCAAGTGAGGAATTGAAGCTCAGTGTCTCATGTGGAGGACAGAGGTGTTATGCACTATGGTACGCCAACCATGATGTATCCACTAACATATAAAATAAAGATAAACAGGCAGAATCCACCTTCTCTCTCTCTCTCTCTCCTCTCTCTCTCTCTCTCTCTCTCTCTCTCTTTCTCTGTATCTCTAGAATTCTTGTCTTTAAAACACTGATTCAGATTGTCATCCTCGGTTGTCCCTGGATCCTGGGTTTCTTCGTAAATGGCAGTAGGGTGTTGGAGATTGTCTTCCTGTTCCTCAACTCCCAGCAGGGCACCTTCATCTTCCTGGTCCACTGCATCTTCAACCAAGAGGTCAGTCATCGCTTGTATCTTATTCAACTAGCATTTTATCCTAAACATGCCACTTTCACTTAGTGATTTGTCTTTTTTCTACTACCAGGTAAATTAGTTTGAACTTGTTTCTGTCTTTGTTCACTTTTATTCAATATTGTTCCTTTCCAGCCTTTTGGTGAGGTAGAGTCTGTAGCTTTAAACCTCGTTCATCTTTATTAAAGATGTATGTGAATGGTGTGCTTGCATCTTTGTGCTAATCCATAGCACTTGCCATGCCGTTAGTATATGCTGCAGACATCCATAAATAAAAAAAGTAACTAATCAAACAAAGACCCAAACGTCTATCTCAAAATCCATCACCTGTTCTCTACTATTGTTGTGCTATACACGGTGTATGAGTGTTTATGTAGCTACTTAACAAGCTCTTATATTTAACTGCTGATGTACCATGCATGCAAAGTTCATGTGAGATTGTTTCCCCCACTGCTCAGGGGGTGGTTTCAATTCTTTGGCTGCCACCAAACCATGTTGTAAGCCATTAAAGAGCACATTTTACAGAATTGTTCCTTGTACCACCTCCTATTTGGGAACATAACAGTGGTGTCATAAGTGGGGCTGCTTAAGTCTGCCAGAAGTGAGCAACTTTGGCAGGAAATTAACCAGAGGGTGCTGTGCTACAAGAAGCAAAGGTGGAGCCAGCAGGAACAAAGCTGGCAGGGAGCACAGGCAGCTGAGCACAAAGGAAGTGGATGGACGGCAAGAAAAAGGAGCAGGAAACAAAACCGGCGCTTGGAAAGCCTAAGGAGACCAGCAAGCACTTGGACCTGGTCTGGAGCAACCCCTGAATTTGTTTTGGCTGCATGTATTCCATATCACTGTCATGTTGGAAAGTGAACATTTGCCTTATTTCAAGGTGCTGAATGCTGCTGGGCAGGATTTCCTCAAGGATTTCTCTCTCTTTTGACCTGATCATCTTTCCTCAATCCTGACAAGCCTTCCCAGTCTCTTCTGCTGAATTATATACTCACAGTATAATGCTACTGCCACCTTTTTTCACCATAGAGATTGGCCAGGTTATGAAGAATGCCTGGTATCTTCCAGAGGGAATGCTCTGTGTTCAGACCAACAAGTTCATTCTTGGTTTCATCAGATCATAGAATGTTTCTTGTCATCCATTTGAGCTCTATCTTCACCACAAAGCCCTGAGTGGAGTGCTGCAGACATGATTGTCTTTCTGGCAGGCTCTCCAATCAACTTAAATAAAGTACACAAGATGTACACACTTGAATCATGTAAACTAATTTTAGTTTTGCAGTTTGTCCCAACTTTTTGGAAGCATGGTAGTGAGTAAGCATTTGGAGTATTCTGAGGGCCAGTAAATTTATCACACTGGCTTATGCAGCAGGAACTATAATGTTAGAATAATCAGAATTATTATTTCCTGCATTTGCAGTTCAACTTCAAAATCACTGAACTGTGAATATTAACAAATAAAACAAAGTAATAAGCAGCACACATCTTATTTTCACATTCTGACACTGGAAATAAAGGGAAAACAAAAACAGAAGCACATGTCTAGACACAAGAGGGAAGGTAAACAAAGGCAGACAGAGACAGATACAGAGCAAGGATGGTACAGAAGCCCCCTCTCTAACATGCAGCTCCTAAGGCACAGAACAGAACCCAAAGGAGCTGGCCCAGAGGAGAGTTCAGAAACAGAACTACAGAACCAGTTAGGGTGCTGAACAGGAAGCAGAACAAGAGGCTGGATGCTGGAGCAGACAGAGGACTGGACAGATGACTGAATGGGGAGCAAACAGGTGACAGGGAGGCTAACCAGGCATCTGGACATGGGCCTGGATGAGGGCCAGACAGTTGATTGAATGAGAAGGTGGATGAGACAGGAGGCTGGACATGGGACAGAACAAGAGACTGAATAAATAACTGAAATGGGGCAGAATGCAATGGAGAATGGACAGAAGAACCAAAGGGGGTGAAACAGAAGATGAGACACCAGACTGGGCAGATGGCAGGACAAGACTGGGCTAAAAACTGGTCAGGGAAGTTAATCAGCATCATAACAAAGACTGTGACAGGGACTACAACAGAGAGAGTAACAGGGACTGGTATGAACATAAAGGCTGAGACAGTAACTGAAATGTTGATGGCCCATTAAGCAGGAGGCTGGGTGGCCAGCTGGGCAGGAAGCTGGCACTGGATCAGAATGTGGAATGTGCCTAGGAAGCAGGAAGAGGAACTGTCTGGAGTATGGGAACTGAAGCGCCTCTGGAAGCCACCAAAAATGAGGTACCTCAGTTAGCCACCACTGGAGAATTGGTGGCTAACTCTTCATGGCATGATGAGGGCAGGCATCGGTTGGCCAGTGCTCACTACAGCACTGGGAAGAGCCTTAATGACAAGCATCAACAGGCCAGTGCTCTCCAGAACACTGGGTTGTGCTGTGAGACTGGCAATAGAGCAGGTCAGGAAACTCCAGTAGGTCCAGTAGGTCAGGGGTCTCGGAGGCCAGCAGATTAGGGGACTTGGAGGCTGACTTAAGAGCAGTTTATGTTTGAAGACATGCTGATTATTTTAATTTGCTCCGCGACTGTTTTCAACTTACACAGCATGTAGATTTTCCTACCTATGACAAAGGTCACACCCTTAATCTAGTCTGCTCTTCTTCTGTATCTATCGTTCTACTTTATATAGGGTATTCATTAATTTGCAGGATATCTCTATATGACTGCTTCCGCCCGCTCCCACGAGTAACACTGACAATTAGGTGACTGAAACTTCTTCATTTTCAGATACCTTTGAGCCTGTGCGTGAGCCCCTTGCCATTTCTGAACACCTTAGCTTGGTCCCCTACATACTATGGGCCACCCACAAGGACCGGGTGGGTCTCCTAAATTGTGATACCTACAAGACTCAATTATCTACCACTAAACCTGTCTCTTGCAAGCAATACCCATTATCAGAGGAAAAGGAAAATGGTATTGGAGGGGTAATTCAATCTTTAATTGATCTCACCCTACAATACTCCAGTTAACCCCATGTGAAAGCTAGGATGGCGAGGTTGGCGTTTCACACAAGATTTGAAAAGGGTTAACCACGTTGTTATCCCTCACACACCTATTGTCCCTAATGTGTCTACAATTATTAACAGCATTCTGTCTTACCATTCACACTGTACTGTGGTAGATTTATGCTGCCCTTTTTTTTTCTGCATTCCAGTACACCCCGAGTCACAGCCTTTATTTGCCTTCACATTTAGAAGTAAAGAATGCACATAGATTGCACAGAGCTTTGTCAATTCGCCCGTGGTTTTTGCCACAGCTGTGCATGATTCACTCTCTACTCTGTCACTGCCTGAAGGTTGTACTATTTTACAGTATGCTAATGACCTGTTAATCACAGGAAAAGATTAATCCACCTGTGCTGAGGGCTCTTTGCGGTTGCTACACCATCTAGCACAAGCAGTAAGTCCTGGGTTCTATTCTGACAAGGGGCAAACAATGACTGTCAGACTAAAGTTGAAAGCTCATCCACTCATTCAACCCACCCATGGTGAAGAGGGGCATGCCATCCTTTCTAGGACTTGTGAATTACTGCCGATCATGGATCCTAGCCTGCTCTTAATCCAACACGGTCCTGCAGCAATGCTGCACATCCAAAGTGCCCAAGCCTATCATCTGGATTGCAGAAATACTGCAGTCCCTTAGGGTATGGCCAGGAGGTTTACGTAGATGGCTCATGTTTCATATCATATGATGGTGCATATTTGTGCAGGTACTCCATGTGTGCACTTCCTAATTTAATTCTTGAAACTCACTCCCTTCCATATCAATCTACTCAGGCAGGCAAAGTAGTCGCTATGTTGGTGTCGCAACATTCAAACATTCAACCCTGTCCGATGATACTGTGGTATACAAAGATGCCATTGGCTTCAAAAGGGGGGTCCCAGAGGAATTTAAAGCCAGAGACTGAATTGCAGCCAGATATGAATCCTCTTTGTTCTGGTGGGTCACCATTAATAAGAATGTTGACTGGATAAATTACATGTATGTAGCCCAGCATGTGCTACCCCAGGCTCTAGGAGGACGCTGGAGGCAGGAGAAACATTTGCAGCAGCCATATTGTATTCACCAAATAAACACAAAGCAAATAAACCGAAAACCAGTGCTACACTATGCTGGCCACTTTTCAGTGGCTTTCAACTAGCTAGACTTTTCAGGCTTTCTTACTCAAGCTTTTCAGCTGCCCAGTCAGTCTCTTGCTGCTGCTGCTTGCTGCTTTCAGTCACCTAATTGTCAGTGTTGCTCACGGGAGCGGGCGGAAGCAGTCATATAGAGATATCCCACAAATTAATGAATACCCTTATATAAAGTAGAACGATAATTAATTTGTATAGAGTAGAGTTGCAGACGCAGCACTGAAGTGTCACAGTGTTTAGAGAATAGACCAGTAGCAGGTTTTTTTTTTCTGTGCACCGCTAAATACACTGAAATAAGCCATAAAAATAAATGAAAATTAAACAGAAAACAGTGTAAAAACTTAAAGAGGTGAATTTTATGTAATTGATGACTAAATTAGCATTCTGTGCTGCAGACAGATTTCCCAGTTGGCGTACCAGGCTTGAAACTTTTGCTTAATCAGAAGTCAGAAAGCTGTCCAGGATAAACAAATATACCATGCAATTTTATGGAGCAGAGTGACTGATGTGACCATTTTCCCATCTGGAAACAGGAATGTTTGTGTAAGTGTCTCGCTGCTCCACAGCTCAAACATTGTATGTATGAAAAGCCAATGCGTCGAAGCTGTAGCGCTCGCACTGATGCATCACTCACGCCGCCCAGAGGCAGCATGTGTGAATCAGGCATTAGAGAGATGACGGAGCCTTCAGTCCGATAGCCACAGCTGCCTGGCAAAACACCAAAAATAAAAAAATTATAATTCCTGCTTTGTGTTTACTGGAAATAAATGACATTTGGTGAAGTTACTTCACATTGAGCCTGATGACCATGACTGCTGTGTTATTTTAGCACAGAATAATGTATTTGTGATTAGATTCTGTCAGATATTGAATGTGCGTGGGACTATGCAGGCGGGAGCTGGTCAAATCGTTTTGAGTGGGACCATTTTTTCCGATTTTCTGTGGCAGCGAGTGGGACTGAAAAACAATTCCATGCAGACCTCTACAGCAATGTCTCAAAAGATGATTAGATGTGTGAGTGCATGACCATCAATGTCCAAGTCTAAGTCTGTTCCCACTATCGTGGAGAGGAGTTCTTTAACAATATAAATGGTGACACAGGAGGTGTCATACACGGTCCTTAATTCAATAATATAGACCTGCCCATCATTTTACATAAAATCTGTCTCAATTGCCGGGGGCTGGATAATAGCAATAAACATCAGTTGAGTATTGATCGAGTCTGTCATGGGTGTTCTGTGGTGGAAAACTGCCCACGACCACAGGGAGCAAGTGGGTCCTCTGTCACATAGAAGCTGGACAATAGAAGGAATCAGGTGGGAAGCATCACTCTCCTCTCTCCATCTAATGAGCCAGTCCCCTGGGATGGCTATGTGGTGTGCAGGGGATTCAAAGATGCCGTAATAGTTGACCAGTGAGGTAGCAGGTAATTCACACAAGTTCTCCCAGACCTGCTCAGTTTAGTCCACTTACCTAGAACACTGCAGTCCTTGAATCAGGGCTGCACATCTGTCTAAAAAAAGAAGTAGCAGAGAGAGAGAAAAAGCAACACAGAGAAAAGATCAAAACATAGACTCACTTAACGATGGAGGCCTCCTTAATTCTACTAGCATGAATTAAGGTTGAGTATCGGTTAGTTCAGAAGTCCTGGCTAGAGTACACAGTGGGCCATACAGAGGTTCCCCTAGTCTCCTAGAAAACACGTTTCATTAGCATGACATTACTGGGCTCAAAAGGATGAGTTGAATCTCCTGTAGGAAGACGGAGAGAAGAGGCTACATTAGTTTGAATCTTGTGCAACTTTTCCCCCAGTCTAGTTGTGCATTCTTCTATAAGGGCTTCTAGATCTCCTGCCAGCATCAACCCCGGCCTACGTCTCTCCCATGGATTGGCAAAAGGGCATCCCATTAAGACCTTAAATGGTGAACTCTTAGTAATGCTACTTGGGGTCATCCTTATTTCACACAAAACAGAAGGCAGCAAATCTACCTACTTACGTCTCCCCTTTTGCTGCATCGCCTTTGTTAAATGCTGATTAATGGTTCAATTAGTTCTTTCTACAATCCCAGAGGACTGTGGATGATAAGGGAAAAAAGGTTCCATTCTATTCCCAAGTATTTACACACTTGTTATGTTACCGCTGAAGTAAAAGAGGTGCCACTATTAACTATGATCTCTGTTTCCACCTCCTGCTCTTCCCTTTCAGGGGGTTTTGTATCCTTTGACTTTTTTTCTTTTTCTACACACTTGTCATTCTACATTTTGACAGAGGCATGTTGTAGTGATGTTTAAGTGTGGGGACATCAGCGAGTGATGACTCATTGTTGTATTGCAACCCCAAAACCATTGCAACCATGTGTCCACAAACAAATAAGGTTTTTCCACTGGTGGTAAAATATCAACGATACTCTTTGTTGTAGGAAGATCAGGAGGCTGTAGAACGACTTTGCCAATGGCTACAGTAACAAGTGCTATCACATTCCCTAAGGATTTAGCCTTGGTTTAATGTATGGTACTGAGGCTTCCACACAATCATTCTGATCCATCCAAGCCCTAGGGCCTTCACCTGGTTTGGGCTTACAAATAGATCTCCCCATGTCTGCATGAAGTCACCAGACCATTAAGGAAGGCAGCACTAAGTAAACTAATAGGTAGGGGACTTGAACCACTAACTTCTTTTTGAGAGGACTCGAACCCCTCTATACAGGCTATACGGCTGTGCGGAGGAATAGAGGAAATAAAACAATACTTACCCCCATTAGCCAATCCCACTTCTGACACCAGAAACTGGTGCTTCAGGTATGGGGACTTCTCTTGCAGAACGAAGCTTTGGGGGTCAGTGAAACACGCACAAGAGAAATGCAGTTTAACTCAACTATTCAAAAAGACACAAGGGTTATATCTCCCAGCACTCAGACATGTGCTTTGATCTGCATGCCTTTCCTGTAATTCTAGCTTGGAAGAAATTCAAAGCTTGGAGAAAAAAATTACTTTTGGCTATTGATGTTTATGTTGTTGAGTTTCAGTGCTGTCACTCTCTTTCAGTGTTTTTAACTACCTGATTCTATCATGTACTTCCAGGTGAGAAAGCAATACAGGAAGTGGCTAAACACACTTTGCTGCTGCTTCAAGCCCTCAGCTTTGAGAGACGTGATGGAAAACCCAACATCCACACACTAATTAAAACAGCATTTCAATAATAAGATCAGAACATCCAAACATAATGTACTTTTTGTTTATTGTTGTTTTCCATTGTTCCTTTCTGTCTGTTCTTTAAATACGTAGGTTTTGATTTGTAAACTACATTTTCTTAAATTTTCTATTAGCAGTATGGTTTGCTCTGTTCAACCTATAATAAACTGAAAACCACACAAAAACATGGCAATTACAAATACAAATACCTTTGTCATTGTACAAATACAATGAAATTCAGTGGGCACTTCACTACAAGCTGCCTAAATAAAAAAAAAGATATAAATAAAATAGTATAAGACAAAATAGAGATATACAGCATATTTATAGAAGAAGATATATGCAAGGTCCAGTACAGCCTTAGGTGCAGGACACACCAGTGGCATGAGTGTATGCAAGTTCTAGAGTGGGGGTAGTAGAATAGTTCAGGATAGGGAACCATGGCTGGGATATTGCAGTACTGAAGTGACAGTGTTTGTGGCTGGAATGTCGTACTTTATGAACTTTATTGTTTTTTTTGTTTTAGTTTTGTACATATACGCCCTTTCCAAATTTGATGCCTGCAACACACTCCTCAAAGCTGGGACAGGGGCATTTTTACCTGTTTGTTCCATCACCTTTCCTTTTAACAGCACTTAATCATTTAATTGTTTGAGGACTGAAGATACCAATTGATCTATTTTTGAAAGCAGAATTTTTTGCCATTTTCAATTATACAAGTCTTCAGTTGTGCAACAGTACAGGGCTTTTGTTGTTGTATGTTGTACTTTATGATGCACCACTGGTTTTCAATGAGACACAGTCAGGCCCATCTGGCACCCACACTTTCTGACTGCTGTTGTAACACATGCAGAATATTTCTTGGTAGTGTCATGTTGAAATAAGCATGGATATCCCTGAAAAAGGTTGTGTAAAAGTCAGCATAAGTTGCTTAAAAACATGTATATATCTTTCACAGTTAATGATGCCTTCACAGATGTGCCAGTCACTGGCTTTTGACCTTCATACCAGTAACACCCTGGACTGCAACATTTTCCTTCCTATACAAAGAATATGTACTGTCATTTAAAAGTTCTTTTAAGGCAGTGAATGAATTGTCTGTTTACAAAAAAGTACAAGTCATTTTGTGTCTTTTTCTGTATTTTCCCCCTATGGAATGTATTTAAAGAGCACTGTTACAAGAGTTATGTATAATCTACATTCATAGTCTCTGTTCATTACCTACATGTATCTTTGCCAGGAGAAGAATAGCCCAAAATAAATAACTCCAAAACCATTTACACATGTTTTTTTTTATCAAAACTAATACTGTGAAGCCTTTTTAAAAGCAAAGTGATCCACAGTATCAGTTAGTCAATAAAAAGCACAATGCTTTTTTTATTATCTAGCTGGGATTAAACATGATTTGGAAATTAAGAACAAATAATTCAGATTTAGCTTTTCTTAATAAGGATGTGCATTTGTTTCTAAGCTGTGTAAATGAAAGCTAATGATCTCGGTTCTCTGTACATCAAAATATTACCCAAGCTTTATTTCTTGCTTTAAGCAGTGATGAAATTTCAGCAGAGAACCAGGGACTGGACCTATTTTATATGCTCTACGGCTTATTAACCACAGAATTAAAAGATTTACAAAAAATGGTTGAGAGTTCTGGGATATTGGAAGTATGATGAATATTACTCATAGACAGATCAGGCAAGAAGGCTTGTTCACTTAAATGTTTGAAATTTCTCCTAATCTCTGTATCTATTCTGTTTATTGATCAGAGTTGATTTTGGAGTTGGTTAGATGTAGTTGGCTTCTTGGCTCAGAATGACATTACTCAGGATGACATAGAGTGGAGCAGTTCACCGACTTGGTGTTCATGGTATCCAGAGCTGCCACAGAGGTGGTAGCATTAGCTGTGGCTAACATGGAAAAAGCTAAAAAAGGCTTAACTTAGGAGCAACTGGTTGAAGACTCGAGACCGTTAGCTCACTTTTTAGATTTTACTTTGTTTGGTAGCACTGAACCAGAATAGTTTATTTCAATAAACTATATAACTCCAATAATTTATACATAGAATCATAAAGTAATTTGTTGTACACTACATTAAAAGTGAATATGGATGTTCATCTCGTCAAGAGATAAGATATTCTTGACCGCACATTATCTACACTAAAGTTTCTAGATGAACTGAAATTTGCCCCCCATTAACTCAGACTAACAAAGATTCCCTTAAGGCAGACATACCACATAAAGAAATAAATGAAACTATATTATCATTTAAGGTCAAAAGGTCATAGCTAAGTCCTTGTCAATAGACTCAGTGTTTGTTTTTTTTTTGTTTCATTTTTTTTTTTTGTCAATCTGGTGCAGCTTGACCAGACCAGACATAATGAACTCCTCCAGATCAGTAGCACAGACTTACTGATCATTTTCTTTGCCAAAAAGGTGTCTGACCAGGTATAATAGTCATACCTGTTTGCTGTTTACCAAAAATATGGTATTGGAAATAAATTTATAGCCTGGATTATAATTCCATATGTGAATGCTTTTTGTTTTTTGTGCCATTGTGTTTACATGTTTGTTTTATCTTGTGGAAAATCTGATACAAGATACCGTGTATCACAGTTATCCAGGAAGCCTGATTTGAAAGAGCTATTCTGGGGAAAGGATAATGAACAGGACCTCTGTGCTTGGGTTCCATTGTGATGGAAGGATAACATGCAAAGCTTTTTTTTGTTTATCTCTCTTTTTCTCCCTTAAAGTTCAGAATAAACATAACCAGTCCTGGCACATATTTAATCAAATTGGTAGTCACAACTAGCAGTTCTGAAAGAATACTGTGCTGCAGCATGGTTGTGTTCTTCAGTTGGCACCACAGCATGGTACAATAAAGTAGGGGATACCGTTTCTTTCCATAAGGCAGTCTAAGATTTGATTCCTTGCCTTAGGCAGAACACTAGATTGTACCAAAATGTCCTTGTGCAAGAGTCCTGATGCTATATGCATCCAGTGACATTTTACTTTGCATTAACTTTAAAAGGCTACTGTTTTGTACACTGCTTGTAGGTATAGCATGTGCCTCTGGTGCTGTATTAGTTGCATTTTAGATTTTACACTGTTTCCAAAGAAGTTATTATCTGAAACATATTTCCATGCAACTCGTGGACATGCCTGTTATCGCAGAACACAATCTTCAGTTGAAAACAGAAAACAAGGTAGCAAGAAAATGAGCACCTTTTCAAAGCCACAATGGTTGTTTATGGGAAAAAAAACGGAAATTATGAAGTGTTTATCATTTCAGTTCTGTGAGGGCCAGCAGTCACATGTGTGAGATGTTGTGCATGGATAAGAATATCAACACAAAAGACTGTTGAACAGAAATGCATGTCAGTAATTTTTCCTTTCAGTTTACAGCAATGTGGAACATTTTTCAGATATTTGAACAAGAACCTTTTTATAAATTTAGCAGTGAAACTATATTTTTAGTCTTTTTTTAAATTAGTTGAATAGTGAACTATGAAATTTTATATTAAACAATTAACATTCATAAATACAAAATAAACACAAATATATTTAGCTACATTCTGTTTGTGTGAAAGCCATGTTTATTGGTGAAATTAGCTTGTTTTAATATCACCTACAGAAAGAAGATAAAGTATTGTTATTGTTATTGACATTAACTGTCTCTGACCTATGATGTGTTTAATTTGTTGATATTGTTGATAAGAAAAAAAAATACTGTACTGGAAAAAGTACTGTAGTGGAAATCTCTGCATGGGCTCAGGAACACTTCATGATTTCTTTTTGGAAATCATAGATGCCATGTCCTCCAGGCTAAAGAGGAGAGGGGCAATCCAGCTTTTCAGTGCAGCATCCATTGTGACATGGGGGTGCATTAGTGCCCATAGCATGGGTGACTTGCACATCTGTGAAGGCACCATTAATGCTGAACCATATATACAGGTTTTGAAGCAGGATATGCTGCCATCCAGATGACGTCTTTTTCAGGGAAGGCCTTGATTAATTCAGCAAACTATATTCTGCACATATTACAACAGCGTGGCTCTGCAGTACAAGAGTCCAGGTGCTAAACTGGCCTGCCTGCATTCCAGACCTGCCACCATTGAAACATTTGTCACTTGATAAAAAAAATATATATATATATATATATATGACAAAAAAGATATTTTTCACGTTACCCTTCAGCATTTCCATATTAAACAATTAATTGAGTTATTATATGACTGACATTTCAGTCAGTCATATAAGGAAAACTTGGAAAGGGAAAATTTAATTTGTATGGCTCTGTGATTATATATTATGTCTGCAACTAACATAGTAAACAAAACCATAAACACTGGCAAAGCTCATCAAACATGTGTCAGTAACAAAGACATAAGCTGGACTAGAATAATGGCTGCTGAAATGACCAAAATGCACTTCATAAGAAATTTAATGTGCCATAACTCTTGCACGTCTTGTTTTATTTATTTATTTTTTTCTATTCTGCTAAATTCAGCAAATAAACAGTACTTGTGCATTGAAGTGTGCAGAAGTGTGTTCTCTGTAGAAATGTATTCACTTAATTTCACTTACAAAATCAGCTAAACATGTCATGGGCTATGACTGTACACTCATAAAAAGAGGATTTTTCAAGGACTCTTTAGTAAAGCCAATGGTCATATCTAAAATCATGGCAACTGAAAGAACCATTTAAATGTTGTACGGTAAAATAGACAAATTATTTAATTCTTTAAAGAACCTCTCAAACCTCTCAAAAATCTTCTGCATAGCACCAAAAGGTGTTCTAGGGTTGTTACAAGTGGAAAAAATAAATAAATAAAAAAAATAAAAACTTCTCTGGCATTGTATAGAACACTTTTTGCTTAGATTGTATGTGAGGGAAACTGTACAGATACAAGCACAAGGTAGCTTTAGTATGTGAAATCTAGTACTCACTGTTGTTACAGCAGGCAGGGGAAAGAGGGGGGCACCATAAT